GTGGGGCTGGCCTCAGGCACGAGAGCACCCAATTGTTTCAGGCTTTGGAGGGTGGGGCAAACCCCCTATGTGGGTCTTTGAGAAGCACAAGTCTTCTGCAGCTGACAAGCCCTGCCGCCCACAGGTCCACACACACAGTCAACATAGTCCTGCCCTGTGTGCGTGCCCTGACCACCCGAAGCGGACCCAGTCTCTCCACGGCGGGAGCCCCACACACTCCACTGCTGCCTCACACTCTCCACCCGCTCCTTGTGCACACCCTGCCCCACTGAAGTGGGCTCAGTTGCAAGGCTGCAGAGAATCCAGTCACCAATCTATGCAGGCCCACAAGTTGCCTGAGGGCTTGTTGTTGGTGGGGCCAGTCTCTAGGGTGGACTGCCTGCCCTGGCTGAGCTGGATTAAATCGGTGCTCTAGAGGGTAGGGCAGACCTGGGCTAGCAGGCCTCAGGGAGAATTCCAATGGCATCTGTGTCAGCACGCCCACACCAGGCCACAACAATGGCCGCCGTCAATGTCCCAGTCCCTGGAGAGGTCTCACCTCTCACCGAGATGCACACAGGGCCTATTAGGTGAGTCTCTTTTCACCAAAGCACTGTGTACCTTTCTTTCTGGTGATTTTAGGTTGCTTTCTGAAACGGGTGAGTTTGTGCGTGGGCCCTTTAAGAGCCAGCTTTAATGTACTTTCGGTAAATATCTAGGAGTAGAATTTCTAGGTTGTAAGGAAGGTGTGTTTAACTTTATGAGAAACTACCAGAACAACTTCCAATGTGCCTTACCATTGTGGTGTGGTTTACCACTCTCACCAGCAGTTAGTGAAAGTTCCAGTTGCTCCATACTCTTGCTAACATTCAGTGTTGTCAGTCTTCATAATTGTGGTGATTTTAGCAGGTGGATGAACAGAAGTTTTTAATTTTGATGAAATCTATTTTCTCTTTTTTTTTCTTTTATGGTTGTGAGTTTTTTGGCGCTGTCCAGGAAGCCTTTGCCTATGCTGAGGTTATAGACAACCTCCTATATTTCTTTCTAAAAGCTTTACAGTTTTAGGTTTTACAATTACATCTATGATCCATTTCTAGATTATTTTTTGTGTACGGTGTGAGGTATAGATCAAGATTCACATTTTTCTGTATATACAGCTAGTTTCTCTAGCACCAATTGTTAAAAAGGATTTCCTTTCCACATGGAATTGCTCTGGTGCCTTTGTTGAAAATCAATTGATCAAACAAGTGTGGGTCTACTTCAGGACTTTCTACTCTGTCTGACCTAATTGTCTGTCTTTACAACAATACTTTACTCTCCTGATTAGGCTAGCGTTAGAGTAAGTCATGGAATTAAGATAATGTAAATAATCTTTGTTTTCCTTTTTAAGATTGTTTTGACGCATCTAGATCTTCTGGCTTTTCATATGAATATTAGAATCAGCTTGTTAATTCCTCCCGAACTCCCAGAAAAAGGTCTGCTGAGATTTTGATTTGATTTTGATGTGTCCTTGAGAAGAAGGTACGTCCTACTGTTGTTGAGAGTGCTGTTCTGGAAATGACAATTAAGTTGGGTTGATAGTGTTTAAAACCTCCATCTCTTTAGTAATTTGCTGTCAGGTTGTTCTATCAGTTACTGTCGTCCCTCAGTATCTGTGGGGGATTAGTTCCAGGACCTGCGCAGATACCAAAATCCACAGATGTTGGAGTCCTAAGGGTGGGGTCACTGGGTGGGAATTAGGGTGCAGGAAGGGAAGACTGGGGTCACTCATTTGTCACTTATCTAGATCACCCAGGGCTTTCTGAAGACAGAACTTCATGGGGAGGGACAGCTTAGTTCCTCCTCTGGTTGTTTCACAAGTAGCTGTGTCATAAGCTGGTGATACGTTCACTTGAGATGAATGTCTTGAAACAGATGCCTCAGCAATCAAAGCTTATCGTCAGGCACTTTCACTACCTTTTCCACAGCAGCCGCACCATTTTACACGCCCCACCCCACAGTGCCCAAGGGCTCCTTCTCCACATCCTCATCAACTTGCCATCTTCTGGATTTTGATGGTGGCCATCCTAATGGGGGTGAGGTGGACTTACATTTTGAACAGATCCATTGCTCCATGGTGCAAAGAACAGAGAGCCTCAGACAAGTGTCTGGGACTTGGAACAACAGAGCTCTGAGATGGAACTTTCCCAAGGGCTGCCTCCCGCCTCCTTTAGCCCAGAGCTAGGCACTGGGAATGGATTGTGGTGACCACACGGTGATGCCAGGCTGCCGAGGTCAGCAGTGCCCTGGGGCTGTGTCTTGAAGATGCCCCCATACTGTCTTAATTAGTCAGAAAAGCCACTGCCCTTTGGGCGTGACTGTCGCCCCTCCCTGCAGGGCAGGAGCAGAGGGCCCTGGGGCTCTCTTTCTGGGCTGGACTCATGTGACTCACCTCCAAGGTACACGGAGACACCATAGTGCTTGTTGCTGGCACTCTGGCCGTCCCTGTGTCCCCCTGGGCTCTGGGAGTCATTTTGTTTTCTAAACAGGACTTTACTGAGATATTATATCCGTAGAGTAAAATGCAGGGATCCTAGTTTGCTGGATGAGTCTGACCTATGTAAACAGCTGTGTGCCCGCCATCCAGATCAGGCTCAGAACACTTCCAGCCCCAGAAGACCCCTCGGGCCCCTCCAAGGGAAATCGCTCTTCTGACCTGTTACCACAGCCGTGCTCGCTGGTGTCTGGCTTCTTCTGCTCAACCCTGAGGTTCATTGATGTTGTTTCCTGTATCCACAGCTCCTTGTGATTGCTGACAGCTATTCCATCGTATGAATACTAAAGTTTGTTTTGCCTTTCTCCAGTTGGGGAACATTTGTGTTGTTTCCAGTTTGGGGCTATAGCGAGTCAAGCTGGTATGAACATATGTTGGGTCTTTACCTCTCTCAGGCAAATAGCTAGGAGTAGAATAGCCAGGAGACAGGAGACTTGACTTGACTAGAATCCATCAAAAGTTTCCAAAGTTATGTTATTTTACGCTCCAACCTGTCAATGAATGGGGTTCCAGTTGTTCCACATCCCAATCACGATGACGTTGTCCCCGGTGTCCCTGGTGTGCCTGGTGTGCCTGGTGTTGGCGAGGATGGCAAAGAATCTCCCTTCCTTTCCCTCCTTTCTGCTCCAACTGTGCTGTTGGCCCCTTCAATCTGGTCAATCTCTGGTTGATCCGGGAATATAGTGGGGATGGAGGGAGGGCAGGGGGACATGGGGCCTGTCTATGGGAGCGTCTCAAAGAAGTCAGTCTTTGCAAATGCAGCTGCATCGAGCAAGGTGCAAGAAGGAAGGGGGTGCAGACAGACGTGCGGCCCTGGGCGCCTTCTACCCACTGGTGCCTGTAGGACCCTGAACGGCTCGTGCTCGGCTGACCGCTGGGCCTCTCCCTGGCACACTGCAGGGGTCTGCTGGACTTTACTGCTCCCCTCCTCCCCACTCCCCCCACCCCGCCTATCCTGCTCGTCTCCTTCAGTCCATCACGTCCCTTAACTGGGTGCTAAAGCCAGGTAAGGACAGTTTATTTATTATGTCCTCTGGAACATAATAAATATTATGTCCACCGCATGTCACCTGGAACGTTCTCTATGTCCAAGACTTCTGCTGTCTCCCTTCTGAAGCCCAGAGAAAGGGAGAGAGGAGAGGAGCAGAAGGAGATAGAGGGGCTCGGGAGCTTCAGGGCACCACTGCACTCCGGGACAACAATGTCCTTTATGACATACTCTCTTGAAAAACATTTCTTTCCATGTGATGATGTTTTTACATGATGAATAGAATTTTAAAGGGGAGAAATACCTTTTAGAGAACGTACGTGTCCTCATACAGCTCAGGCTGCTCTAGTGAGCTGTGTGACCTTGAGCATGTCCCTTAGACTCTCTGAGCCTCAGTTTCTCTGTGTGTAAAATGGGTATAAAGAGGCCATCCCACCACCACCACCACCCTGGGCACAGGCATGTCCAGCCACACAGGCCCTGTCATGTAGCCCCACTGTTTTCTGGACACTGACCGAGCATGCTCAGGAGACAGTTACATACAATGGGCGGTATCGTCTAGAAACTCACTGTCATGTCAGTGTGGTCAGGTTCTTTGAACCTATATGAACCAAATATGATTTGGTCTCAGGGGCGGAGCACAGGAGGAGAGAGGAGGGGAGGGTCACTGGGGTGGGGAATGTCCACTTCCCTCTCTCTGGTTCTTACCCTCACCCCTCCTCCCCCAGGACTCCATCCTCTCTCTTTTTCCAGATCCACTTCCTCCTGCTCCTGGCTCCTCCCTGTTGAATGACGGCCAACTTGCATAGGTTTCGATTTCCTTGTGAAGTCCTCTCCAGTGCAGACTGCTGCCGGGCTGGTGTGAAAAGCAGCAGTGGCCACAGAGGTGGTGGAGAGATGGCCTTCATCTGCCCCCAGCCTCCCTACCTGAACCCGGTGAGTCCCGGGGCTGTTGGCATGGGGCGGTCTGGCCTGGGGGAAGCAGCTCTGGGTCTCTGAGGAAACAGCTCTTGGGTGACAGCGGGTAGGGGAGGGTGGCATCCTAAAGAGAACACAAGAAGGGCAGGAGTGCACGATGGGACAGCAGAATTTCTAGAGTGCCGGAACATGCCTGGCACCTATGGGGGCTTTGGAAGAGTTTACTATTGTTAGGAATCTGGGTGCAGCAGGGAAGCCCTCCTGAGGAGGGTCTGCTCCCTGAGGGCAAGTTAACAAGGCGGGGCGGGACAGAGTGTCTGCAGGGGGCCCATCTCAGGAGTGAGGGAGGACAGGGGCTGTCCCTCAGTGGGGGACACAAAGGGCTGCCTTTGGCACCATTTTGCCACATGTGTGGAGGTCCTGTCTGCAGGTGGTCTCGTTTCACCCCCATGAGGCTCATCATCCCCCCGTCACACAGGGGAAAACTCGGCTCAGATAGGCTGAGGTCACAGGCCAATGTCCCCGATGGTAAGAGGCCGAGAAGGACAGTGCCTTGATTTACCCCAGAGGAGGGAGGAGCCAACAGAAGAGGGATAATGGGGAAGGCAGGCAGGCGGCAAGGGCCTCCGGGACAGAACATGTCACCCTGGGCACCGTCTCCATCAGGTGGGGGAGCCCAGGGCTCCGTCCAGGCCCTGCCACTTTATTATTCTGGGGACTGGTTTTTACTTTCCAGTCCATGGATTCCAAAGCCAGATTGTTCCATTCAGAGGGACAATCCTCCTACGGGCAGCACGGAGTTCAAACAGGGCCTTGGAGTCGGGACAAGAAAGAGGATGGGTGCAGTCCCCACAGGCGCCCGGAGCCCCTGGTGACCCCCTGACCTCCAGCAGTAGGAACCAGGCCCCGCTGCCTGCAAAGTGCGGCGGGAAGGTCACGGGCCCTGCTGTTCTGCTCAGTCCCAGCCCCTCAGAGGGCCAGGATGGAAGCTGCGACCACAGGCAGCACAGGACTCACTGTTTGGTCCGGGAAGCACTTGGTGAGCCAGGAGCGAGGGTGTTCTGTGCTTCATGGTGAGAAGAAGTCTGTGTGGTGGTTACAAGCGTGGGTGCTGGGGTTCAAACCCCACTCTGTCACTCACCTGCTGTGTGGCTTTGGGCAAGATACCAGACTTTCTTTGCCTCAGTTTCCTCATCTGTAGAGGTGGCACTAATCACGGCCTGGGTTGTTGTGAGGATAACGAGATAACAGAGACAGGAAAGTCGGCCACCAGAAGGGCCTTGGAACCTCTGGGGCAGCAGCGTCCTCTGGCGAAAAGCCTCGCACTGTCTCCTGCAGGTGAGTTCCCTCTTCCAGTGGGGCTGGGTGCCTTTTGGTGACACGGGGCCTACAGAAGGAGGCTGCCCACCCTGTGGCCTGTAGGGCCTGGCTCTGCTGTCTGGACTTCTGGATAGGAAGGGAAGGAAAAAGTTCTCAGGCTCCAGGCCCAGCCAGAAGCAGAGAGCAATTCTGACCCAGCACAGAGACTAATTCTTCCAGATGCAAACAGCCGCCACTGTCAGGGCCGGTGAGCCCGGGGCTTTCCATGTGGCATCTTATCTAGTCCTCTCGAGAACTCTGCCAGGCTGGTGCTGTTGTGTCGCTGCTCCACGGAGGGACCTGGGGTGCAGAGTGATTTGCCCAACAGCCGAGCTGCTCACACGGGGAACTAGAAGCGAGCCCAGGCCTGTGGGGCCATAAAACCAGTGCAAAAACCCATCCTCCTGCTCCATAGGGAGCAAAAGCCAGTGCTGCTGTTTCCTGCTAAGATCCCTCACTCACACACACATACACACACGCGCACACAGGTCCAAACTCCACGGCAGCTTTGGCTGGCCAGGCTTAAAACAACACAAATTTGTTCTCTCAGTTCTGGAAGTCAGAAATCAAAAATGAAAGTGTCAGCAAGCCTTTCCTTCTGGAGGTTTCAGAATCTGTCTTCTCTCTGCAGGTCGTCCCCTTCTCTGGGATCATCCAAGGGAGTCTCCAGGAGGGACTTCAGATCACTGTCAATGGGGCCGTTTTAGCCTCCAGTGGAACCAGGTACTTGGAACTGTGGTTTCTCTGCAGCCTCGCCCCTTAGCAAAGATTGGCACCTGCCCGCTCAGGTTGGTTCACCCAACACCCTCGGAGCTGCCTGCACCTGGAGATGCCAGATGAGATGGCAGGGCCCGGCCCCTGCCAATGCTGAATGGCACCACTGCCCTCTGCCAATAGGGTGTGGGCCCCATTAACACAGACCCCTGGTAGACATAGGGATGACGGGAGCTCACAGTCTAGGAGAGAAGCAGGCAAGCCCGGAGGCAGATGATTATTTACAGGGTTGAACTTTGTACCTGATGATTCAGAGGTGCAAAAATATCAATTCCTTTACTTCCTGGAACTGCCCTCACCTACTTTGGAACCCTCATTCGGATAATGTTGAGATGTTTCAACTTGCCATCAAATGTAATTTGATGAAAGTTCTCACACCTGGAGAGCTAGTATTTATTCTATGCCTCCCTTTTAATTTTATTTATTTTTTGATTACGCCTCCCTTTTAGGCCTTGTCTATGTAGGTATAGTCCTGTCAATTTCACATGTTCTTTAAACTTGTTCTCTTCTTTCCCAATTGAGCAGACGTGGGCCAGCCTCCAATGAGTGTCCACTGGGTGCTGAAGGCTCTTCTAGGCACGTTTCCCAACTTCCACCTTTGACACTAATTTGTAATTAGTTTCCAAGATCTATACTTCTTGTCGCTAGCATCAACATTTTTCTTTACCCAATTTCTACTTATTTTTAGAAAATTACACTGTAAAGACAAAATGCAATAATTGCACAAAAACACACTAAGTGCTAATTAGGGGAACAGACAGGATGGCAACAGACTGAGGATCGCGGGTTGTGTGTAACTTCCCCGACAGATGCCAGTCAAAGGCGAGGCCCTCTTGGTCCTGCCATTGGCATGAGCCAGGCTACAGGTGACTATCTGATTTCCCTCGCCTAGGTTTGCTGTGAACTTTCAGACTGGCCCCAGTGACAATGACATTGCCTTCCACTTCAACCCTCGGTTTGAAAGTGGCGGGTATTTGGTCTGCAACACGAAGCAGAACGGACGCTGGGGGCCAGAGGAGAGGAAGACGCCACTGCCCTTACAGAGGGGGAGTCCCTTTGAGCTCAGCTTCCTGGTGCAGAGCTCCCATTTCCAGGTGAGCAGGAGCTCTCCTCCCCTCCCTCCTGCTGCCTGTCGCCTCAGCCCTAACAGGTGCTGAATAGCCTTAAAGTAATCACACGCATTGACATCTGGCTGAGCAACACCACTAGACAGATAATAGGACCACTTCCTTGTCAGGGTGTTACTGATGGCTGCAGTCTCCTTACACCTTCACCTGCACCCACAGGGGCACCTGCTGCTTCTGTCACTCAGGGAATAAGAACTAGATAAGTCTCCATGGTGTATTTTGGCTTCCTGGGTCTTTAAGTCCAAGTTAATTCTCTTCCTGAGCTGTAGCCATTGATCCATTCAGTTCTCTGAGATCACTTCTTTTTTGGCAACATTGTTGAAGCCTTTATCCAGGTTCTATTAATAACTTAGTTTTGCAAGGTGTTGCAAATTGCTTTTGTGAGCAGAGCCGTGTCTCTGGGCTTTGGAAAACAGGTCGGGGTGAATATATCTGTGTCTGCGCTTCCCTGAGTGAAGGCGGATGTTCCCATTCCCTCCACATTCCACCCGAGATCGTCTCTCCTCTGTTCCCTATGAACATTGTGAGGCATATTTAAATAACACCCCAGGTGAGCCATGATCAGACAGACAAACCTACTGCCATAAATGAACAACCATGAGAACAAAAAGCCAACAACTAGAGCCAAGCAGAGATGAGTGCGGATGCCCTCTGGATCCCACGCATGTTCCTGTACCTGGCACAGCTCTGAAGGCTGGTGCCTCGACCCACAGGGATGGGTGTGAAAACCAGATGCAGGTCTTAATTTCTAGAAGCCCGGGTCCCAGAGGCTCACGTGTGCCCCAGCCCTGGCCTGGGACCCCTCTCCTGGAATGTGTGCTCATCTTGGCAGGTGACAGTGAACGGGAGCCTCTTTGTGCAGTACTCACACCGCGTGCCCTTCCACCGCGTGGACACCCTCTCTGTCACCGGCATTGTGCAGCTGTCCTCCATCAGCTTCCAGGTCAGATGGTCCACCTGGCACCTGTCCCAGGGGTGGGGGCCGGGCCCAGTCTAGCTGTGCCCTGGCTCTGTTGGGTGAGCCCAAACCCAGGTGACTCTGGGGACTCACCTCCAGCTCCTGTGTCCCATCCTTCTGGTGTTGCCGTCTCTTCTGGAACACTTGCCCCCGTCTCCCAGACTCCTAGGCCACTCGTCTGTGTCACTCTCTATTTCCCCCCTGGTTAGGAGGCCGTGTGGTTCCAGAAAGAACCCAGGCCTGGGAATCAAACTGAATCCAGCTCAGATTCCCAGTTCTGCCCTTCTCATTGGCTGTGGGATCTTAGACAAGCGGCTTCCTCTCTCCCAGCCTCAGTTTGCTCATCTGTGGAAGGGGCATAGTCGCTGCTGCCCCAAGGGTTACTGTGTGAGCTCACGAGGTGATGTATGTCAGAGGTTATAAAATGGCCCGCATGTGCCCACACCAGGGTCTACTTGACCATCTCTGTGTTTTAAAATTTTTGAGTATGTTGCCAACATCTAAAACGTCAGGCAAAGTTTATAAGATGAGAAAGTTTTCGAGCTGGATGGTGGTGATGTTTACACAACGATGTGAATGTACTAGAGCCACTGAACTATAAACTCAAAAACTGTTATGATGGGGCCAGCCCAGTGGCATAGTGGTCAAGTTCGTGTGCTCTGCTTCGTTGGCCCAGGGTTCACAGGTTCGGATCCC